AAGTACCCAAGTCAACTGCAATCCAAAAACATCAAGTTTTAAGTTGTGTGCTCTTCTGTGTATCATGTTGAAATTTCACACTGTCTTGCTCCTTCCTGCCTAGGACAAGAATCATCCCTTTGTGCAGTGTATCTGGACTGTATATGCCATTACCCATTAGTCACTCAGAAGCCGTCCAGTTATCAGATCAACTGTCATGGTATCACCAAGCTTGTGCTCAAGTAACCTTTATTTTCCTTAATAATGACTCCAAAGTGCAAGAGTAGTGATGCTGATATAATGTTATTATTGATCTACTTTATTCTTAGTTATTGTTGTTAATATCTTGCTATTCCTAATTTATAAATTAAGCCTTATCATGGCCATGTATTATAGAAAAAAAATCACAGTATATTTAGGGTTCAGTACTATTCACAGTTCCAGGCATACAATGGAATCTTGGAACATATTCCCTGCAGACTAGAGAGGATTCTTGTAACCTAATGTTATAAAATCTTTTATATTAATTATTATTTTCAATGGTCACACTTTTATCCTGATTACTGATACATATATCAATAAGCGATAGCATGAATAAGCTGTAACACCATTGTCTGATGATTCACCTTTCTACGCCTGTTTTTAATACCTCCTCCATCTAGAAAAGCATCCATTTGTCTTTGTGTTACTTAAAGAGCACAGTTCCCTTTTACAACTAATTATATAACCAATTTTCATGCATTCATTTGTTAAACATAAATTGGTTTTGAACTATTGCTATTGTTTTAGGACTAGCTTTATGATTACTCTACAAACTCTTACAGGATTATAGGGCTGATTTCTCCTTACAGAAAAGACATGGCTAGAATCATTTAGTTTTGCTTCAGCATTCACTTGTTGCCCATGGTTTTATGTCCTATCCTTGATGTACCTGGCTTGGAGGCCCAAAACGCTGTCATTCCAAAGAACTGTCTCTAAATTTCTGAATAGGTGGGCTCAGATACCTTCCCTAAGGCCTCCAACATATTTATCATTGCTGGTACTGAATTACATACATTTTAATCAAAGCATTCTTATTCTGTGCTACCTCTTGCCTAAATGTGTTCTTTTATCTAGATTCTGTATCTCAATAAGTAGTTTCAAAATACTCTTAAGCCATCTAAGCTATAAATTTCTAAGACATGTTTAAACTCACCATTTTTCTAATCCTCCACATTCAATCTATTTTTGTTCCCTTTTAGGATTCATTATTCTTTTTTGCAAGTAATTGTCATTTGCTTGGACTATAGTATTATAAGTGAACTGCCAAGATTCTCTCTTCCACTCTGAGTAATCCTCCATAATAGCAGCAGAATTGTCTTTCTATAGAACAAATCCTATCATATTACCAAACCAACTGACTCTCAGTTATCTATAAAATATTCTAGGTCTTTCACACTTTTCCCAGTTTCACCTTTTCACTCATAACTGCCATTATAGATTCCTTCATATGTACTTCAGCAGTGAGAATTTTTACACAATCAAGTCATTTTTCATACTGCTTTCTATATCTGGAAATAGTCTCTGCTTTATACTTACTGTTTTTCTGCTTTTAATTTTGTGGTCTCCTTTTACTTTTCATTTAAAATGACTTTACTCAAAGAATTCTTCCTACAGCTTCCTAATCATGCTGCACCATTTTTTTTCTTTTGATTTCCTGAGTAGTCACTAGAATCTTACTTGTCTTGCCACAAACTACTATTATAAGGTTATCTTTGACTCTACAAACTATAACTTACCAGATAACAGAAACTGCATCTCAAACACATACAATGATGCCCAACATATACTAAGTGTTTCAAAACCTGTTGAAAAAAATCAACGACCAATGATATCACTTTATTCTCTAAATCATTTCAAAACTCTCGAGTAGATGATATTTGATTCCAGGGATTTTCAAAACTTGTTACCTTAATATTTACCTACCCTGTAACATTAACACTCTGCTTCAACATTTTGGGATGAAAAATCTCTCTGACATTATTCTCTGAATGTAGAGCAAAAAATCCCGTAAAAAATGTTGCTATATTATTTATCATTTCTGATTATCAAATAGTCTCCTCCATTATCTCACTAGCTAAACTTTTGATTTTAATTTTAGAAACACTTGATTTAGGGGCTTGAAGTCCTTTACAAATAACTAAATTGCTATCAATATTTGCTGTTTTGTTTAGCCAAATGTTTAATAAAATTTTGAAACGGGAAGAGAACCAAGAGTTTTATTTTCTATCTCAGTATATTTTTGAATGGCCTTATCTCTAAACTTTATAAATAAAGAATACACACCATGCATTTGACCAAAACAGATTCCTCACTAACATTCTTCCTGAGACATCATCTATGTCTTTCCACTTTCCATATATCCTTTCTTGGAGTGTTTTCTCACTTATAGGTTCATCCCCAATATTAACAGTGACAAAGTATGCAAAGAAAGTTGGTGTACGTGAAAGAAAATTGGTGTACCTGAAAGAGAAGTAAGGTCACATTACTCAGTATCTACTCTATAACTCCTACCCCATCTGTTCTTTCAAACTCATCCTTGGAACCTATGTGGAAACTAATAGTCAAAAATAAAATTTACTATGGAAATATTTGACTTAACTCAGTCTAGGGTACTGCTTACAGTTACTGGTAAATAAGAGGTAATGACATGAGTTTGGAAGGGAAGGCATTACAGATTGAAAGAAACGCTTAGAAAAATGAGAAAGGGGAAGAAAAGAAAAGAAGAAAAATAGAGTAACTAGATCATCTTCTTAACAAGTAGAAATAGTGAATTCATATTTTCACATTATGCTGCATAGTAACTCTTCATCACCTGTAAGGTAAAGTCAAAATTCCTTAAGCTGAATCATAGGACAGATGATTCTCTGTCCCATATACATTTGCAATCTCATCCTCTAAGTTTTCATCACACAGGAATTGTACTGAAATACTTAGTTTCCCTTATATGCCTTTGTGTCTCAAGATTCCACTGAGAAAGAGAGGAGAGAGAAATCTCAGCCTCCAATATCATTTCCCCTTCATGTATGGCCCACTCATTCCTCCCATTTTTAGAGTTATCAATTATCTAACTTTCTCCAATATGTCTAAACAGGGTCTGCTGTTCCCTTCTTAGTAATCTAAAGCTTGTCTAAAACATGTTATATCTAATTTTTTCTTTCCCATTGGTCTCTCCAATAGATTTAATAGCCTCAAGGATAAACGCCTCATCTTATTCCCTTTGTATCCTCAACTTTATCCAATATTTAAATAAATGAGATATAGATACTTGAGGAATAAATGTATATTAATGAATTAATAATAATTCTAATTAGTTTATTTTGTAGTAACTTGGTTTCCTTAAGAGGCACTATTATGTGCCTCTTAAGTGAGAAACATTTCTGTATTCCTCATGCATTGTATGTTTACTGTAATTTTTTTATTCTTCCTTTCTAAGACTAGTACTACCACCCCCACCCCACCCACCCCCCGCTGAAATAATCAAGACTTATCCTGGGTCTCTGTCTTTGCTTTGGCCTTGGTTTCAATCTTTATCTTTATTTTTTCCACTATTCAGCTTTTCTTTCTGTCATTTGATTACAAATTCTATTTTTCATTACTAATAACTAGGGGTAAACAGATCACTAGCTCATGAGAAAAACTCAACAATTTTAAAATTTGACACAAAAATAAATGACTGTCACTGGTCTTCTTAATAAAAAAAATCAAGGTCTCTAAATAAAAATTAAAATTTTACATTTCTTCAAATCAGAGTTCTAGAGCCTTGTAACCTGCCAGTTTATTCATTCTCAGGCACCTCCTAGAAACTTCTGTGAAGGTTTCTAGGTGAAATTTACCAAAATTGTCTTCCCTGTCATGATGCCTCAGGGTTCTTCTTCATCTTTCAGGAACTCCCAAAACCAAAATAAGAAAATAGCATTACTCCACAGAAAAATGTTACCTGTGCCCTTTCTCCATGGCTACTTTAGGTAATGGCTCAATGAGTGTCATCAGTGGCCTTTCCTTTTTACATTAGCCATGGACTCAATGCCTTGGTTGGTAAGTGAGCTTTCCACCTCCACAGGGAGATAATTACCGCATGTGCCCAATACTTGTCCATAATTTTTCTAATTAGCATGTGGAACCATGATAATATACTATAAGAATTCGTTGGCCAAAGAAAAAGTCCTATTATTCATGGGGATTAGTTGACTCCCTCTTAGAAATTCTCTAGTCAGAAATGTGGAGGTTCTCCAGGCATCATTTGTTAAAACATACATCAATGAAACCATCTCCTTTGAATTTCCCTACATGGTGCCTCTAGAGTTTCGTTCCGAAATTGAAGAAAAGTATTCTTTTTTAAGCAGCTACACATTCCTATTTCTGAAAGCTAGAAGACAGGAAGATATAAAGAATAGAGGACAGAATGTTAGAATGGCAGAATCTTTCAGATACATTCAAAACAGGTTTGCTTCTGGAATACAATGTGAATTTAGTAAAAATTTCCTCAGTATATGAAGACAGTTTGGGTTATGGAGAAAAGTGTGACAATGCCTTCATATAGGTTTCCACAAAGCCCATCGGCTTTCTCCCCATTTCAGTTCACATATTGATTCTTTCTGACAGTGAGTCCATTCACTTGGGCTGGAAGTGGGTGAAATGTTAGACACACATGGACGTCTCCCTGAGGTGCTCACATGAACTGCTCTTGTATAAGTCACGTACCAGATGTTCTCACTTACAAGTCAGACCCGAACAATGAGAATACATGGACACAGGGAGAGGAATAACACATACTGGGGCCTATGGTGGAGGGTGGGGAGGGGAGAGCATCAGAATAAATAGGAATGCAACTGGGCTTAATACCTAGGTGATGAGTTGATGGGTGCAGCAAACCACCGTGGCACATGTTTACCTATGTAACAAAACTGCACATCCTGCACACGAATCCCATAACTTCAAATTAAATTAAAATTTTTTTAAAAGGATGCTGCAGGGATGAGAAAGTAAGAGAAAAGCCCAAGTGATTAAGCCAGACAGGAACTTTTGGTGGCTGCTTCCTTCCCCTGAATCCAGATAGGATGAGTGACCACTTTAACCAATAAATTACAATCAATGTAAGACTGTATCCATTTATTAACCCTGGTCTCTAAAGTCTAGTAGCTGCTACTTATGGTGTGTTGAATCATCCACTTTTGTACCCTAGCAACCGTGTTTTGAGAAAGCCCAGGCAGCCCTTGGAGAATCTATATAGAAAGAAACCAAGGCTCCTGGCCAATAGCCCCAGCTGAGCAAACTGTGTGTGGAGGCTTTTATCCTGGTGGATGACATTGATAATGGTGACATTGCCACTAAGGATGACTAGATACAAAAAAAGAAAAACTACAAAGAGAGCCAGCTGAATTTCACCAAGGCTGGAAAAACCCAGCAACAAGAAGTCAGTGACCATGGTGAGGTTTTCTGCCAAGAACTACAAAGACAGAAAGAAGTAAAACATATTCAGGTATGTGAATATCAGAATTTGGGGCACGCAGTCCTTTGTTCCTTTCTAGAGGTGACAAAGAAGAATCTTGCCTTTTACTTGCCTTTTCCGGTTCCTAGCTACCTCTCATGTTCATTGGTTCATGGTCCCCTCCTTCCGTCTTCAAAGTCAACAAAGTTACATCTCTTTCTCTGACTTTCTGATTCTCTCTCCCAATTTTAAGAACCCTTATGATTACTTTGGGCCTACCAGAATAATACAGGATAATATCTCCATTTTATTGTCAGTTGACTTTCCTTCTGCAATCTTAATTCCTCTTGTTATAATCCAACATATTCTCAGGTTCCAGTGATTAAAACATAGAAATCTTTGGGAGCTTGTTATTTGGCCTACTAGAACAAGCAACAAACCATCTAAAAATGATATTAAGAAAACAATTCAATTCACAATATCATTTTAAAAAGCTTAGTGTCAGATTTAACAAAAAAGTGCAAGACATATGCACAGATATCTCTCAAACATTTTTGGGATAAATTATAAAATATGACTAAGTGAAGAACACCCATGTTCATGAATTTAAAGATATAATAAAATAAAGAGCAATTCTGACCAAATTGGTCTATGTAGTCAACATAATTCTTAACAAATCCCAGCAGGCTTTTATTCTAAAGACTGATAAGATGATTATAAAATTTATATGAAAAGAAATCAGAATTGCCCAAATGTGTTCAGTTTAATCACTAAATAGAGGCCTTTGGAGCATTGTGATCCATTTAATAGTCACCATTTTAGTCCTACTCTAGGATCCTCAAGTGTTTCCGGAACACATCACAGCTCTTTGAAGACTGTTTATAGAAATAATTGTAAGTGTTGATAGAAATAATTGTAAGTTGATTATTTGCATTCTCAGGCTGATAACTTAAAGTTTACCACTAATAATGCCCAGTTATATTTGTAATCATAATTAAAATAACCATAAACACATTTTACAAAAGAAGATGTTATATACCTGAACAGAGGGTTGGGAGACAGGTCCTGTTGAGCTCAATATAGGTGGATTGAGTTAGGTTAATATCACTTATTCCCCACTTTGAACAACGATAATGTAGACATTCAAGAAAAATAAGCAAACAGATTGTGAATAATTATCTGTATTTATATGCAGAATAAGTATTTTCTGAATTGACTAGAATCATCCTTATCACCTTTCTTCTTTCCTTATCCATCATCTTTATCTATAGACACACATGGAGCCCAGCATGCCTTAAATAAAACATGGTCTGTTGTAGAGTCATTGAATTCTGATACATAAACTGCTTTTAGGAAAAACTTTGTATATGGTTTATGAAAAAATGAAAATTGAGGTTTGAAACTTATAATAGCTTTTTCTGCAGTAAAAAGTCAAAGCAATGTAGTATACTTTTGATTTTCTAGTAACCGTTAATTAAATGTTAGTATAAGAGAAGACAAGAATACTTTTTATTCAGGTAGAATCCCATTAAATAAAATTAGCTTATATGAAATTTATTCTAATTACTGCACCTAAACCTCCTCTCAGGTTCTAACAAGTAGAAATAAGAATCTCTTCACTCTGTCAATAGTTTCTTTTGCTGTGCAGAAGCTCTAGTTTAATTAGCTCCCACTTACAAATTTTTGTTTTTGCTGCAATTGCTTTTGGGAACTTAACCAAAAATTCTTTGCCAAGGCTTATATTGAGAATAGTATTCCCCAGGTTTTCATCCAGGATTTTTAGAGTTTGAGGTTTTACATTTAAATTTTTAATCCACTTTGAGTTAATTTTTGTGTATGGTGAAAAGTGATGGTCCAGTTTCCCTCTTCTGCAGGTGGCTAGCCAGTTATCCCTGCACCATTTATTGGACAGGGAGTCCTTTTTCCATTGTTTTCTTTTGTCAGCCTTGTTGAAGATTAGATGGTTGTAGATGTGCAGCTTGCTTTCTAAGTTTTTTTATTATGTTCCGTAGGTCTATGTATCTGTTTTTGCACCAGAACCATGCTGCTTGGGCTACTGTAACATTACAGTACAGTTTGAGGTTGGCTAGTATGATACTTCTCTCTGACTTTGTTCTTTTTGTTTAGGGTTACTTGGGCTATTTGAGCCCTTTTTTGGTTTCATATGAATTTTATAATAGTTTTGCTAATTCTGATAAAATTACATTCATAGTTTGATAGGAATAGCATTGAATCTGTAAATTGCTTTGGACAGTATGGCCATTTTAACAATATTGATTATTCCAGTTCATGAGCATGGAATGTTTTTCCATTTATTTGCATCATCTCTGATTTCTTTGAGCAGTGTTTTGTAGTTCTCCTTGTAGAGACCTTTCTCCTCTTTCATTAGGTGCATTTCTAGATATTTTATTTTCTTTGTGGTTATTGAAATATAATTATGCCCTTGATTTGACCCTCAGCCTGGACATTATTGATGTATAGAAATACTACTGATTTTTTTAGATTGATTTTGTATCCTAAAATTTTACTAAAGTCATTTATTATGTCTAGGAGCCTTTTGGCAGAGCCTTTAAATTAGTTTTCCAGATATGGAATAATATCAACGAAGACCAGTAGTTTGACATTTTCTTCCTATTTGGATGCCTTTTATTTCTTTCTCTTGCCTTGAATAGGAGTAGTAAGAATGGGTATCCTTGTGTTGTTTCAGTTCTCAAGAAGAATAGTTCTAGCTTTTGCTTGTTGAATATGATGTTGGCTGTGGATTTGTCATAGATGTCTCTTATTATTTTGAGATATGTTCCCCAAAGACTAGTCTGTTGAGGGCTTTTATCATGAAGGGATGTTAGATTTTATTGAAAGATTTTCTGCATCTATCGAAATGATCATATGAATTTCATTTCTAATTGTTTATGTCATGAATTACATTTATTGATTTTCATATATTGAACCAAACAACCTACAGAATGGGAGAAAATATTCACAAACTATGTGTCAGACAAAGGCCTAATATTCAGAATCCTATAAAAAACTTAAATCAAGCAACAAACAATAAATGCCATTTTAAAATGTGCAAAGGATATAAACAGACACATCTCAAAATAAGACATACAATCAGCCATGAAACTTATAAAAAATGCTCATCATCAATAATCATCAGAGAAATGCAAATCAAAACCACAATGAGATACCATTTCACACCAGTCAGAATGCGATGAAATAAAATACTTGTTTCTATACATTTAAATGATCCATCACCCTTTCATCTTATTCATATTCAGGACTATCCAAGTACTCATAAACATTGATCAAAAACAGTAAAGACTAAAATGTATCTTACACATTTATCCTATACATTTAAAGAAGCATTAATTAAAACCTTAATTTTTTAAGTTTAATTATTTTAAATTTTTAATTTAAAATTTTTAAAAGAATACGGAAAACCTATCTGTACATTTGAGCAAAACCCTTGATCAGTAACAATAAAAATAAAATCATATGAAAATCATATTTTTGAAAGCTCTTCCATATGATAATTTTTTTTTTTTTTTTTTTTGAGACGGAGTCTCGCTCTGTCGCCCGGGCTGGAGTGCAGTGCCTGAATCTCAGCTCACTGCAAGCTCCGCCTCCCGGGTTTACACCATTCTCCTGCCTCAGCCTCCTAAGTGACTGGGACTATACAGGCGCCCGCCACCACGCCCGGCTGATTTTTTGTATTTTTTAGTAGAGACGGGGTTTCACCGTGTTAGCCAGGATGGTCTCGATGCTGTCTCGGCCTCCCAAAGTGCTGGGATTACAGGCTTGACCATATGATAATCTGAAAATACTATTAAACAAGTGTTGGGGCAAAGAGAAAATTCAATGTAAAATAAAATAAATTCTAGAAAATAATGTCAGCTATATATATTAGACTATATGGGCTAAATTTAAAGCAGTTATCAGAAGAAAGTTTATACCTTATTTACCTAAACAAAAATTTAATTATTTTTAAAGTATAAAACATCTCAATGCCGTCTAAACTCTTTCTGACATACAGTAGTAACTTAATAAATACATCTTCAATACATTTTAAATATCAGTTTAAATTTTCAACACATACGTTCAAAATTTATTTTATATGTTAATAAAATACAAAAAAAATTGAAGAATAGAAAACATTGTATTACTGGACAGAAAATTTGAAAAGCTAAACTTACACAATAATGAAATATTATCAAGCAGTATTAAGCAACAATTTGTATAAAATAAAATATTTACAAAAATGGCACCATTAGAAATATTAGAAAGCAAACAACAAATGGGAAACTACCAAAAATATTCTTCAAATAAATTCATTAATAAAAAGTTTATTGCAAACTGATGGAGAAAATAACAAACTTTGAAGAAGCAGATAGATATAAGCATACAGTTTATAAAATAGAAATAGAATGCGTCAAACATGTAAAAATTTATGTTAAAAATATAATTTAACTTGAAGTATATTTCAAGTAAAGTAAAGTAGAGACATTATTTACACCTATCAAATTAACTGGTGGTGTTATATGACAAGTAACAAAAAGTTTACTAATAAGATT